ATTTTGGGAAACCCCCATATCAATGGAGGTTAGGTTGAAACCTCAAGTTCGAGCCTAGGGTTTCAGAGGACACTCTGGCGGACGACAGTTTTTTTTCTTTTTCTTTTTTTTAATCTATGGGCTGTGTATGGGTTGTACGCTGATTACCGCTTTGATTCCGACTTTTAGTCGCGTGGTTCGACTGGCAAGGGTGCAAAGGCTATGCGAGGTCATTTTGTTACAGATGCAGCTGCCGCCAAGCAGCTACAAGTAGAATCCCATATGTTTCATGGCACGTGAACATCACAAGCCCAAACCGCCGGCTACACTCGCGACGTTTAGCTATCTGAACTGGCATCGCCATCAATGGCAAAACATATTCACCGTTCAGAGTCATATCTGGGGCAGCAATGAGGACCGCACTTGAATCAGCTAGCCACTGAGATCGGCACACTTGAATAAACCTTGGACAGGGTGCCAAGGAAGAATGCTGCTAAGACGTAGATGATCAGCGACCTGGGCGGTGTTTCGCAGGCCTCAACAGACTCCTGGATCCCGGGTCACGTCGAACCCAATTAGTGTGGTACGCCTCAGTTCGTTTGGGGATGCTGACTTCTGCGATTTTTTTGGAGCATTTTTTTTGTTTGGCGGCAGGCCTAGGGGCTTTGATGCAAAACCTTTTTACCTCAGCTACCAAACCCAGAACCCTGGTCCCATCGGAGTTAATCGAAAACTACGATTCAAATTTGCCTTGGGGGAGATTTTTGTTCGGGTCTAGCTCACTGATCAGGACCCCGCAGTACATTATCATGCCTGTTCTGTAGCACTCATCAGGGGAGCATGTGCAGGGTCTCAGTAAGCGAGTTCCTCAAAGCACAAAGAGGATCCGTTGAGGATCAGACTCTGGGTGCTCAGGTGTTTAGGGGTCTCACATGCCTCCAAACACTGGTGCCAAGCCGCTCTACAACAAGTAGCAGGAGTTTCTGACATACCGCAAACAGACCGAAAGAAAAAAAATGAAAATCTGCAGCAATGATGTTATAGCTCGCGCAGCCATGTAAGATTGATTTCGAGACCCGGCAAGAAACACGTTTTCACTGAAAACCTTGCTACAGGATACCGTCGGAAATCTGACAGGAAAACAAGGAATCCGTTTGGAGATGAGCTATAGCCTAAACTCCTTAAAGGGAATTTGTATGAGGGATGATATAAGGGAGCAGCAAAGGGGTTATCAAAGCGGATGCTAGGAGTTCAGCCTTTGGGTGCCGGAGTATGAGGCTTGCGGCTGGAGGGCTGATCCTACTTACGGAAACGGACTTAATTAACTTCAGAGCTTCTACAGAACGTTCCGCCCCGGCTGCGTATTTGTGGTGTTTAGATGTTGACTGGTTTTAGGGGGTTGGTAGCAGAGTGTTGGGTTCTTATGAGTCAGGATTCTGTGCACTTTCGTGAGGATCTGAATTCTTGGGGGGTTGAGGGTATTCTGTTGGGATTTCATGGGTAATATACTGTCCTGAGGGCTTGACTTTACTCTCAAGTCCTACTGAGAACCTCCACAACCTCCTCATCGCCCCTACAGACCCCTGAAGTCTAGTACCCCTTCTTTGAGAACGGCCCATGTCAGACCCTAAATCTTAGATCCTAAAACTTCATAAGCAACCCTAGAGCAAGGCGCTGACGGTACTTGGAGCCAGATGAACAGGATGGTTAGACCTGAAAGTGACGCGTCCGGATGGTCTAGTATCTAGTGTAAAGACAATGGCCTGTGCACTGGGCATAGCGTAATTCCTAGAAGTCTTCAAGTGTATACAGTGAGTGGTAGTTTTCCAGAAAAAGCGAGACCCCAATACATACCCCAAATACTATTCGGACCCCCAGAAAGGGTACCCCCTGTTATGAGAACTGCCCAAATATTATACGAGTAGTGGTACCGTAGATGTCTGAAGGTTTGTTCTTACTGAGCTCACGACTCTCGAACAGCGCCTTGGTTGCGTCAGGGCTTTACAAGACAAAGAGAATCATAGGTGCCAACAGCCGAAGATCAAATGGAATGTTGAGAACACCAGAGCTGCATGCTACCCAAAACATGCCAAACCAACAAGGCAGGCCCACATCCCCACCAGGACAATCAAAAGCCTTCTCGAGGGGTCCGTGCCTGAACCTGCAACTCGCAACTCGAGTGGATGGGTTTAGGGTTTAGGAAGCCAGACACTGCCTATATCTACCGGCCCTGGGCAGGCCGTGTAAACCCAAGATCCAATCCCCAGATGACGCTTTTCAAAGGCCCGCAAGAAGATATGGTAGCTTGTCTAAATAGGCGGAACCCAAGATAGACCCAAAAAACGACAACCCTTGTTACTGGGAACCTTGTGGACCCATGCCGCATACGCCTCACCTGACTTGAATGGGAGCTTGTTCCGAATTACCCCATGGAATGCCTCTTAAAAGCGACCACCGTCATCACATTAGAATCCGCACTACCCCAATTTTGAGAGACCCCGTGGTTAATCCAAGACGAGAGACGAAGGAGTCAAAGGATGAGAACACTCCGCTGCTCTCGAAGGAGATCTGCATCCAGGCTGCGGCTTTCCAACCCCAAATCTCATGCTTCAAATGAATAATCATGCTTGTTTCTTATACTGTCATCCCTGCTATGATGATGGCTGCTAATCATCATGATGCATGAACACATGAAGCACATCTCTACGGACTGGCTGAAAAACTACTTAGAAGCGAAAAGTACTGCAGCTGCGTGAGCAGCGGAAGCCCGTAAGAGCTGTTTGCCACAGTGCGTTGCCCCATATCCAACATCCTTTCTTGTGGGTGGTTGGACTGGGTGCAGGTGGGCACAAGTACTAAGTAATAAGGGCTCTTGCAGTAGCAATACGCGATAGTGTGACTGCCGGGATCGTATGAACTGATGCTGGCAAACAACATGGGCCCACAATAATCAGTGTCAGCATGTCCATGATGACGACGTAACGACAGGGGTTGGAACTGAACAACAAGCGCAGCGACAACAGCCACCAGCGCTGCTACAGCAGCCACAGCAGCAGCGGCGGCGGCGGCGGCGGCGGCGGCGGCAGCAGCAGCAGCAGCAGCGGCGAACATGGAATCGCAACTCGCGTAAGTAATCATCAGCAATGCAGGCAGCCAGGAGACAGATGCCCGTTTGCCTTGAAGCCATGGTACGTCCTCGTCCAGAAGGCCCCTTGATCATTGAAGACCTTGGGACATGAGTCGTATGCAGATATGACCTAGTCTCCGTGTGCAAGTCGCCCAGAGGTTTTTAAAGATGTTTCTGAGAATAAGGGGGTTGGACACATGCTAGCACGGGTGCGGCACCTCAGGAACACACATCACCAACTGCCTGTCACAGCACAATGCCTGATGAGGCTTACATGAGTACAAGTAGAAAGGGCGCTGGCGCATAGTCGAGCATACCAGATGGTACATGGACAATACTCCTAGCTGTTGGGGTTTCTATGCGGTCTTTCCACCCAAACTTCACCCCTCCCTGGCCGCGATACTTAAAGTCCCCTCCATGCCTCCGTGGATGTAAGATCACAAGCATCACACCAAAAACTGGCGTCTTGCCAGTGCCAGGGGCAGCAGGGGACTATAACGACATTGAGCGTACCTGATTAGCTAAGCCAGGGACTGCATTTCGCACTTTCTGTGTCCAGCCCCGCTTGGCTCTAACGGTGATGCATGCCACCTTGGCCCGCAAGGTCAGCGGCCGCTTCAGTCCGGTCAGTCCCTAAAACTGGCGCGGAGGAAATCCACAGGATGTATGTGCTGTTCAGAAGAGGTGTTCAGGGCATGTCGATCATTACTCGCGCCAACTACACAGCCTGAACCAGGTGTTTTGACCACAGCTACTTTGGATGCATCATCAACGGGTCCACTGAGAGCGCAGGCTTGTGAGTTCGGAGTCCCCGAAACCCAAAGTCTAGGTGAGTCCTTCTCCATGCGGCAGTAGCCCTGAGCATGACACCACAGGTGATGATCTTGGTAGTGGCAGTGCTGGCGGTAGTGCTGACTTTGATGGTGCTGGCGGTGGCAGCGGCGGCGCGGTCCGGTGGCGGCGGCAGTGGTTGTGGCGATTGCGATGGGGGCCGCGGGGCGTGGGGGAAGAGTGGGGGCTGTGGCAGTGGCAGTGGTTTTTGAGAGTAGTGGCGGAGGCGACGGTGGTGCTTGTAGTGGTAGTGGGGTCACATGGATAACAAGCCTGGTAGCTTTGACAGCAGCAGCAGCAGCAGCAGCAGCAGCAGCAGCAGCAACAAAGTAGGAGAAGGTAATGGCCATGGACGAGCCCTCCCAACCATGTCATGTTTGATCAACATCGCGTGATGAGGGCTTTTGTCCAATGAGAGCTTTTCGGGAGACCAACCATGCTTGGCAGGGGGTGACCTAGCAGAGGGAGGATAATTCCATACAAGCCGACATCGCCAAACTGCTACAACTCGACATGCGCATCTTGCACATGTCCATCGAAGTTTTTCTGACTGGTTCATCTACAAGCAGTATGTTTTGGAGGGGATGGCCACATCTGGTCCACACGAGATGCATATAAGAGGCCCTCACTTCTGTACTGCGCGAACACACCGCCTCCCGAATTCTTGATATTCTTGGTAAAAGCCCCATTTCAGCAAACATGGTGGTTGGGGGAGCTGCTGGTAGTGGCTGTGGCGGCGGTACAAGTCTTGGTGCAAGTAACGAGCAAGGGCAACAACAATGGCAGCAGCAGTAAAACGGATAACAAAGCAAAACACCAGGCCTTGTTTGTGTACGAGATCTTGACTGTCACATCGGCGCCAGTTAATCGTAGCCTCATGACAAGCAGCATTATGGCAAGCAGGCTGCTTCTGCCGACGTCCTTAGCCACCTGGTCGTATCCTTGAAGTAAAATATCCGCTCACGGCTCTAGTGTCCTTTGAGATCCGGCAAGGACCCACCTTGGAGTAGCTGAGCGGCAGACCCAGCAACTTGAAGTCGTAGGCTTACACTATTTTGGAGGAGGGAGGGTGCATATTCCAATCTCCCCAAAATGTGCTTGGCAGTCTTTTTCATGGAGACTGAAATGGCCTTTTTGTCCCACCTTGTATTGGGCTCTGGCCAACCTGCTTAGGAAAATTACCAGGCTGTGAAGTTGAAGTCATTGGATAGAATTACCCATGCACAAAACGAGAACCTCAAAAGCTTTAAATCCTAAACAATTGGGGAAATAATCGGGGACACATATTTTCCCCATAATATTTTTCCCCCATTGTTTAGTTATCAGGTCGCCCGCCCCTGTCCCTGAAAAGCTGGAGCTGTTAACCGCTTCTACGAGAGCCTAGGGCAGAAATGGGTTACTCTCTAAAAGCTGACTATACTCACCTGTATGTACTCCAGCACAGTCCAGATTCTTAGGAAGCACCTCAACCCCAACCAGGAATCCTTGCCATGAGGGAGTTTGCCGTTGTACCCCTGTAGGGTTCGTAGCCTTGGGTTATGGTCCCGAAGTCATGGAAAATGACCATGATCAGAGTATTGCGACCCGAAACCTAAGAGGGTTACCCCAGGGTACAAACCTCTGGTCTTTCAACCCTAAACCCTGAAACCTAGGCCCTAAACCCTAAATCCTAAACCCGAAGCCCTTAACCCTACACCCTAAACGCTAAACCCTACATCCGAAACCCTATATCCAAAACCCAAAATCTGGAACCCTAAACTCTAATCCTATACCCTAAACCCTATATCTTAAACCCTGAACCCTAAATCCTAAACCAAGGCGCGGCGGCCCGTTGGGACCGCTCCCCGACTCTGCTCGCATCACTCCTTGGCGACTCTCGGAGCTTACAGCCAGGTATGTATAGGGTGTTTTTTTGTGGGACGTATGTATAGGGTTTAGGGTTCAGGGTTCAGAGTGTAGGGTTTAGGCTTGGGTTTCCCAAAGTTAAGGGTCCTTTAAACGGGGATATGGGGGGTTCTATGGGGGGTATGTAGGGTTTAGGATTAAGGTTTCCATAATTTTGGAAACAATTATAATGGAGAATCAAAAGCAAAAGGAAATGGAACATGAAATGGAAACTGGGGACTATATGGGAGGATTACAGGGACTGGGGTTTTCCGAATTCGGGCTACCTTTTTGGTGTTCCTATGAGAAGGCTTTATGCAGGTATAATTGGTGTAATAAAGGGGGTCTATCTTGGGGTCGAGCTATTTTGTGGAAACTACAATGTTGCACAACACAAGTCTAAGATTGCCCGTGATGGCACTGATATAGGAAAATGAGTTTTGCCTGCTTCCCTCGAAGGTGAAACATCTCGCAACTCTGAATCGCAGAATGCCTGTATGCTATGTCTTGTCTTGCTAATTACCCACCGTCACAGGCTTCCTTTCCGAAAATCCTGAAAACAGACATGCACCCAAAATGATGGACAACTACGGGCGGTTAGGGACATAATGGCCTACTGGCCTTTGGCTATAGAATATGGAATCTGGGAATTCTTCTGGCAATTTTCTCCGAGTATTGTATCCTTGCATCATCATAACTCGGGCCTGGCAAATTGCTGCCAGGTGTCGCTCCTCGAAGTTGTAGTATCTGCCGTCCAAAAGCAGCCTTGCACAAGCTTCCACGAGGCTCTGCCCCTGAAGTATCCGATCATCTTGCTTCATGCCCCCATCCCTGCATCCCTGTTGGGACCCTGTGTGGATGACCCTGCGTATTATGGCATTCCTCAAGACTGCACAGTCCTTCCAAGAAAATGACCCTGTGTCTCAACATGGGGTAACGTTATGTTACCCTAAGTGGAGACCTACAGGATAGCCATAACCCTGAATGACAGGACCGAAAAATAACCTTAAACCTAAACCCTCCCTAGAACTTCCTTTTCATACGCTTTCCATTTCAGAGTCCATTGTTCGAATCCACAACCCTCAACCCTCATGCCAGTTAGCAATTTCCATTTGAATTTTCCATCTCATCTCCGCAATTCTGATATGTAAAGCTAACCCTAAATTGTACAGTAGCCTCCATTCTATTTTTCCATTTCATGTCCACTTGATTTTCCACTACTCGAAAAGGTAGCCCAAAAACTTTGTAGTTTACATGCTATGCTCCATTTGATGTCCACTTGATTTTCGGGTTCCTTTAAAAAACCCTTGCCCTAAATGAGGGCTTCCCGTTTACGGTCCATGTCCTGTCCACTTGATTTTCAATTTATTCTGATCTATATTATCCCATGCAGCATAAACCCTGAATAGCAATTGCCATTCCATTTCCCATTCCCATTCCAGTTGATTTTCCATTATTCTCACATCCTACATCCTAAGCTCTGGACGCTAAACCCTAAATCCTACATCCTATATCCTAAGCCCCAAATCCTACATCCCAAATCCTAAGCCCTAAGCCCTAAACCCTAAATCCTACACCCTAAGCCCTGTATCCTAAGCCCTGAATCCTTAACCCTAAATCCTTTCCAGAAACTACCAAATCTAAAAGGCCTGGAATCATCATCTCCAAACTCCTCAGCCTTGCCAGCCATCAGCACCTGATCACACAAAGCGTCCATGTACATAATATATGGGGGCTGCAAAAAAATTGGGGGTCCCTGTAAGGGGGGATATGCGGGTCTAGGGGTATCTAGGATTTTGGGTTTAGGGTTTCCCAAATTTAGAGGGAACTACTACGATGGATAATCAAATGGAACATGAAATGGAAACTGGGATGATATAGGGGATTATAAGGATAAATATGTCCTACTTCGTTTCATGGACCTTAGAGACTGTCTTAGGGACTCTACTAAACTACAGGAGAAAGCCTATGTCCATTTTTAAGGGTCCCTCAATACGGTTGACACTGTCTCATATAGTAGATACTTAAGGCTCAACAAAAGGTTCCCATAGAACTATTTTACGGCCCAAGTAGATGCTATAGAGCTACATGGACTTTTTGGATCAGCAAGCCTATGCTACATATTTTGCACCACTGTATATTGAATCCCAGGGTTGGGCTTCATGGAGGGTCAATTTCAAATTCATTGTCCATGATCTTTCCCAGTTTGTTGTCCACTGCAAGATTCGAGTTGGTAAATGTGGAATAGAGTCTCTCAATACCTGCGTGAAAAACGATCCCACTTCCTCCGCATTATACGTTGATCCCTACTCGCTGTGATGCAGGCCCCAAGTTTCGGAGCCCCGGAAGCGTAATTCCAAAATGTTGTGGTCTTGAAGGTCTGGA